ACTTTGGAAGGATGGAAGGCTGAGTCAACCTTGAGCCGGTGAGATTTGAACCGCTGACCTGCTGATCTAGCAGTAGCCTGCAGTGCTGCATTTAACCACTGCGCCACCTTAGAATATTACATGCAATCAATAAAACAAGGATTGTACATAGAACAATATCGGACCTCTGAAAAGCCTGTGGCACTGCTGAGATGTTATGGAAGACCAGGATGCTTCATAGCGGCCTTCAGCTCTTCTGTATTATTCAGTTTCATGTTTCTCTTCTTTCTCTTGGCAATGCCCCGTAGATTCTCTATGGGGTTCAGGTCAGGTGAGTTTGCTGGCCAATCAAGCACAGTAATCCCACGGTCATTGAATCAGGTTTTGGTGCTTTTGGCAGTGTGGGCAGCTGGAAAATGAAGTCAGCATCCCCATAAAGCTTGTTTGCAGAAGGAAGCATGAAATGCTCCAAAATCTCCTGGTAGATACACACTTTTGTTGGCTAGTGTGATGCATGATGAGGCAAAGGAATTGGCAAATAACCTCTCTTAACTTATTTCTTTCTATCTATTGCTTTCCTCATCCTTTGCAACTTTCTTCTTCATCTTTAATGGCATCTTTACATCCTTAGCACTGGCTCCTATTTGCTAAATATCTGCGTTATTTTTTCTTCTTCATGATTTTCTGTCCATAATCTTTATAAAAGACGTCTTATTGGAGTAGACTGCACACCAGCCTCTTAGCTGACCTATAACGTCTCTAGCCTGAATGGAAAATGTGCAGCATCAGGGATCATACCCAGGATTTTCAGCTTTCAAATACATGAGTGAGGGTGCAGGATGGAGAGGTGTCTAGGAATGACTGACAATGGTTCCCCACAGTAATAATGATTAAGAACAATAATATTTCAGGAAACGTTTTCATGGTTCTTAACCATAGAAGTAAACAAAGTCTTTAACACATCTCATAATCTGTAACAGAGTTGAAATATATATTTATTGTAAGAAATATTGTATACATAGAAAATGATCCAAATTAATTGAGAATATAGACTGAATTGTGATTATAAATACTGTAAAAGTGCAGCTCTTCCATTTATTCTCCAATTCATGGCATATTTTTTCCTTTAAATAAATAGAAATAATACATATTTTCCCTACTTCTAGAGATATTTAGAATTTTAGCATTATTTTTGGAAGAAATATTAAGCATATGAAATATACAGGAGAACAAGCACTATTATACAATAATAGCTATAAAACATCTTCCTTTAGTCTAGCTTAAAACATTTAATAAATATGGACATAGGTTTTATCCAACGTTTTTTTTAGATGTGTGGAATTCAACATTTCAGCAGGAATCAAGTTAACTTTTTTATTGAGATCTGCTTCAAATGAACATTATTTAAGTGTAGATACAAATATACACCAAAATTGTAAACAACCTGTGAATAGTTTATTCATTCATTTATTTATTTGCAGATTCTGTTGCATTTGAGTCACTTGAAATTTTACCCAATCAGTTTTCATCCAGGTTCAGCTTCCATTTTGTATTTCAGATTATGGTGATTTTATAACTTTTTAAGAGTCAATGAGAAAAATAGTTATTTAATAAATACATTACCGTTCCAAAGAAAGTGGGGGGAACAAAGCCAAAATAACTGGAACACAATGCAGGATTTTTCCTGAACTGGAAATAACATTTTTAAAGCCTTGCTATCATGAATATTTATGGAAGGGAGGTATCATATTATATACAAATACCATTACTTCTTGCATCAGACAGAAGGTATCCGTTTAAAAATGGTGTGTGCTATTGTAGTGTTGGTAGTTTGCTGTGAATTGTGCTACTTGCTATGTTTTTAGTTGCTAGAGTTAATTAATGTTAAAGTTACAGACTAAAGTTTAGTTTTGCTATAATCCCTTGATAGTGCTAATTTAACAATATCTAGAAATCAATGCTATTATAAAAGGCAGTGTCTCTCGGCAACTGAATTCTCCCCCCCAAAAAATTTCAGAGGTTTCAGAAGCAAACTTCACTGGGTTTTGGTTCCATTCCCCATGGAACTTATCAACTGATGCTTACGATAAATTTCAGAGTTCGATGAACCTTATTATCTCTGAAGTACTTCACGACCCCAAACTGCAGTCCTGAGTGTTAGAGCATTGGATCCTTTTAAGTGGTTCAATGTTTTTCTCAGCCCCGCCTTTAGAATGGAATCGGAGAATCTAGCAGCGCCCCCTCTAGCTCACCTCTGGTCAATCAAAAAGGACAATGACATGGCAGCAGGTAACACCCGATGAGGCTATACGGTTGCGCGCGCACGCGCTCTAGCTGTTCCCACTCACTCCCCTCTCCCCGATAATCGCCGGCGTTTCCTCTTTCAGCCATTTTTTCCCAGCGTTGTGAAGGAGGAAGCGGCAAGAAGGTTCCGGACCCAAGCTGCAGCATTTTGCTCCTTTTGCCATTCCTTACGGGCCAGGCTTCGGAGACTTCTGTTTAAGCGGAATCAAATTCGGATCAAATCTCTGAGTTATGTTTTAGCTTTTCTCTAATCTCACTCCTTCGGTCTATGGCAACATCTCATGAGTTGGGAAGTTCCTTCTTTCCACGATTCTTTTGCTTCCTTCTGGTTCCTTTCAACTCCGCTCTTTTTCAAAATTGCAAGCGGATTATCTAATAGTGAGCTTCTCGTCGTTCACCAGCCTTTCCCTCAGCGAAACAATCCTCCCTAGTTTTGGCGCGCGAGCCGGGTGAGTCTGGAGGAGGAGTCACTGCCGCCGCCGCCTTCGCCTGTGGTTTCAGGACCTTGGAGAGCTGCTTGGACGGATCGGTCGGGGAACTGCGGCACCACTCACAGCTAAGCGACTGGAGGATTGCGCAGTCCTCTCTCAATTTGCGGGCGATGCGTGCCTGCAATTCATGAAGTTGTGATTCTACACCCTTTATTCCGTCTACTAGTTGTGACCAGCCTGCTAGGACGCAATTTATGTCCAGGCGTAATTCGTGTTCCTCCACTTTTCATTGGTTTGGATGTTGTGGGTCAACGCCACAGCTGATTTCATCAAAGCCTAATTGGGAACCCTACTTTTTAAGGCCTTTTTGTAGCGAGGATAGCTTTGTATCCACAGCTTACTTGTTAACAAAATAATCCTTATTTGGTTTTGTTTTGATTTAATTAGAATATGAGTGGGTACATCACAATTAATAAACTGTGGTTTTCTTCTGGAGTTGAACAATATAGCAACATTGCAATCGGAGTGGGAGACTGGCATTGTGAGGGAAGAGTGTAGATGTAAAGCAGGGGGAAATACCTCAGATTGCAAGAGAATGTCATTTATTTACAAAGATGGAGGTTAATTGAATACTGAAGAATAGTTAAATACTCACTCCAAAAACTCTAAATATAAAAGTTATCAAGAAAGATAAAGAAGATTCTACAAATATTCCAAAACATGGACTATCTAGGGTAGAAGTGGGGATTTTAAAAAGCAAGCAAATGGACAGTAGCAAACAATTCTTCAGAAGAATCATATTGGAGATTATAATAAAGTAATTGACCAAAGACATTGGCTTGCAGGACTCAATTACTTAAAAATAAATATATATTTCCAATAAGAAGGTGTGTTATATTTAAATCTGGATTACTAGTTTTATAAATCTTAATTCTTTAAGAAGAAGCCATAATTAATCCCTTTTAAATGCCTAGCCTTCAGTTTTTTCTTTCCCTAATGTCATTTTTGAATATCCCTTCTTAACATGCCTTCTTTTTAAAACAAAATTAAAATGTTATGTATTTCATTTGAGTTAGGAGAAGATGTCATACTGCTGTATCATTGGAACATTTGAGAATTTTTTTGTGAGAGGAAACAGTCTTTGCTGAATGTGAAATTATATCAAACCCAAGGAGTTCTCATAAGTGAAATTAATCTTGAGAGTTTTTCTACAAAATGAAGAAATTTAGTTTTCACAAAGTTTTGGATGGTTTAACTTCATCCTCTAGTGGAAACTGCAGTAATAGTAGCAGTGGCAGTGGGCCTGGAAGGAATTCTGGGAACTCCGAAGAGGCTGCAGGGACACCCAGGGATGAAATTCAGGAAAGGCTGACTGCAGACTACTTTCGGTTAAGCAAGGTAAGAGCTGAATGCTTTCTGTAAGCATCAACATTCAAAAAAGCGGAAAGCTATAAATCAGTTGTAACTTACCAATTTACATTATCTTAAACATTGACTGCATTTATTTTTCTCACCCCCACACCCAGTTTTATATTTTGTATAATAAATCACAATAAAAACAATTATGGGTTTATTCTAGTTGGTAACAAGCCTGAGACATGATACAATATACTCACTTTGATTAAGCATATTGATTGAAGTGTTTTACAGGTGGGGATGCCTCCAGTCCTTCAGTTGCCCTAGGTGGGCTATTATATGGTTAGTTGGATTTCTGGCTACATTCTAGGAAAATCCCTCCTTTAGGATGGACCCCAAAGAGTATTGGGGACAGTTGGATTTCAGGAGGCAATGGAAGGATTTTTGTTGTGTAAGTGGAATTAACAAACTCATGGCCCATTGCTTTGTTTTTGCTTGTGAGGAAGCTGACTCATACAAACCATGTGTTTGTGACTGTCTCTGAAGGATTCAATGTACAGTTCTTTAGAAGTGATGTTCTAATGTGTTCCAATAAACCAATATTTGTCTAGGAAGGAAGGAAAGAATACCTGTATAGCTAAAATTGCCAGATCAGATAAGAGTCTAGAACTAATACAAAGTTGTATGAGAACTAGAAGGGAATAGGCATTTTCACCTTGGGATTAAGATGATATAATTAAAATTCACAGGATCATGAATTTTGTGTCTATATGAATTTTGTCTCTATATCCTCTGCAAAGCCTCCTTCCTACAGAGCTTTATGCTGAATGCAGAAACTGCTCAAAAGGGACCATGCAAGATGTTTAAAGCAGAATTAGCAATTTCCAGTGTCCAGTTTAGCAACACTGAAGAACTTGCGAGAATATATAAATAAACAGTTGTAACTGAGAACATAAATGAAACATTTTATACATCAGTTGAAAAGAACAGTCCAAAATAACAAATGGAAGGGGTAGAAGAGCTATTGTGCCACATCATAATAAGTATCTTGACATAAGAATGGCTCCTACAGGTTTTATTTCTCACGGAAATGCTTAAAGGAAATCTTCCTTTGTTTCCATTGCTTATAATGTGCTCTCTCTTTCCCATTGTACGCCAACAGAACTAACCAACCTTTATCATCCTGAAAACCACACTTTCTCTTTTTGCTATAGTAGATTGGCTATTCTGCCCCACCCCACTTTTTAGATCATTGAGCTTAAAGTCTTATAAAGGCGTACAAGTGTCACGTTGTTCCTTTAAATCTCTTTCAAGAATTGGGGGGGGGGGAGTATGTGTGAAATCATTGTCATTCTGTATCGAGGATCAAGGTTTTTAATGAGCATGCTTTGGAAAAAAACTAAAATTTCCCCAAACACTGTAACATTAAAAAAAATGATTTGAGGGCTCTCTAAGGACACTGCACACAGCCTGTCATCAGTTACAAAATCAAATGTCTCATCTGGCACTTGGGTTCTGATAGACGATGGGAGAAAAAAGGCAGTATAGTATCTTCAATCACTCGCCTGAGAAAGGGGAAAAATCACAAGGAACCTTTGCCAGAAATCACTCTATCCTTTCCTATCCTCTAACATCTGAGCTGAAGATAGAATTTATATCTGGTATTAAAGCATAATGAAAAGGACCTTGACAAACATGTAGGAATCATTATCTTGGAAAAGGGGGCTCAAACATTATTTTTGGATGCAGCTCAAGTAGACTTATTCACTGAACTATAAGGAAATATAAGAAATATGCACAGTCAGACTTGCAAGAGTCTGGTATTACAGTCAATAAAAGTAGTTTCAGCCTACCTGTGGAATTGATTTCCTTAACATTTGTACTTTAAAATACTTTATTGCATTCCTACGGCTTCTTATGCCAATTTTTTCCCCCTGTCCCTGTTAATTAGAAATTATGTGGTTTTTTTATAAAAAAAACCTAAATTGAGATGTTTACTTATTGCAAATGAATTGTACATTTTCTGATGCAGAAAGATATGAAGAATTTCATAAAATAATTCCATGTTTTATTATGAAACGTCTACAGAAAAAGGAAATGCTTATACTAAACATTATTTTTAAAAACTCAAAAATATGATCTTACAGAATATGACAATTAAATCAAGGAGTTGAAGGGGGAGAAAGTCTTTTAAAGAAAACAGTTTCAGGAGAGATTGATTTGTTAGACGTTTTCAGCAAATGCCACAAAGAATCTTATTGTTCTATGATAAATTTGTTTTTTCATCAGAGACCACAAATCTGTTCTGTTGATACAGTCCAGAAGTCTGGATGGCTTGCTTGCTCAGGTTTGCACATGCAAGATTTAAAAATCATTGAAAGAAAGGCTACGTAGTACGTACCCTATCCAGCCATGGCCCTTCTTAACTCACAGTCCACATTTCTGTAAATGGGAGATGGCTCTCTGCCATGTACTTGCTCAGATTACCCCTCTGGTGGTTTTTTTGTTAAAAGAGAAACAGAAGTACAGTATGTGGAGAAGGAAGGATAGGGAAAGAAGGGTGTATCTGTCATCTACCTCCACAGTAGCCTTTGATTAACATTGGGAATCTCTAAAATGTTAGAGAAGCCCGTGAAATTACCTATCTTCAAGAAGATTTCTCTTTCTGTAGAAATAATAAACACACCAGGAATTTGCTCTCAGATTCTGATTTTCTCTATGTCTCCATACAAGTTATGATATTGGGTGTTTAATTTCAGTTTCCATTCATAAATCTGTTATGAAGTAATCATTTTGTTGTTAAAATCTTAAAATGGATTCCTGTCATATTTTAAACTCTGCAATTTCTGCAGAGATAGCTGCAGATCTTGTAGTCTGTCTGAAATATTGGATTTATTTATTTGTTTAATCACACTTATATAGCCATCTATATCATAGTAAAGTGATCTTAAGTTGCTTACAATAAAAATTATTAAAGTAAGTAAACTACAACTACAATTAAAAGACATCCATAATATTATTAACCACAAGATAGTGAAGAAAATTGGTGTTAAAACCAAGTGAAATTCTTTGCAAGTGGAACCCAAAGCATGCCTCTTCAGCCAGACCTAATGGGATGAGCAGATTTAATCAGGTCCCTCAGATATCCTGGGCCCATGCCTAGAAGAGCTTTAAAGGTCAAAACCAGAACCTTCAATCCGACTTGCAAACTAACTGGCAACCAATACAGCTTGCACAACAGAGGTGTAACGTGTGCACATGCAACTGTCCACGTCACTGCATTTTGCACCAGCTGAAATTTGGGGATGCTCTTCAAGGGCGGCTCTGTCTAGAGTGCATTACAGTAGTCTACTCTGGAAATAATGAGGGCATAGCCTTTTCTTTTGCTTTTCTTCGTTCTTAATTATTTGGTGAGCAAGTATAGTACAGTGAACCTCAGAAAATCTGTAATTATCTCTTTCCACATTGAATATTTGTTTATGCTGGAAAGTTTTTAAAATGTTTGTCTTATAATGCATATTTTCTCCCTTTTCCCACTGATTTGAGCTGCATTTTTGTAGTCAACAGGCTGTTACTACCCAAAATTTTCCATGAAAATTCTTTATGCTTCAAAATAAAATTTAAATTTAGTCTTATTTCAAAGTTTGCAATATGTATGTGCATGCATACAATTTATCTGCTCAGTGCATTAAAACCTATATGCTTACTTAATTGGTTTTTTTTAAATCACTGAGTGGCCCCCCAGCTTTTTATTTGCTTTAGGAATTAAATTAAGGAAATTAAGGAAGTATAGAAAACCTATCTAGGAGGTACAATTATTTTTCCCAACTAAGATTTATATTTTCTGTTGCAGACAGTTCGTCATGGATTTCCATATCTGCCCACCGTTTTAGCTTTTGACCCAGTTCAAAAGATTCTGGCTGTTGGAACAAGAAGAGGTGCAATACGAATGTATCCTTTGCTGTTGGGCAGTATGATAGTTTCAACTACATTTTACAGTTCTATCAGTTTGTTTAATTTCCTCTTTATTCAGATAAATACAGAATAATTTTTAAACTATGCTTTGCTATTGTTTTTTGTGACAGTATAAACCAAAGTTTGTTTCTGGTCCTATGTGCCTAGTGTTGGTTCTTGGACCTCACTTTGTTTCATAATTATGGACTTGGCTAGATAACGTGATCTTCTTTTGGAACTAGTTTTGTCTCAGCCATTGTGGAATATCTGAAGGAAGAAGTCTGCATTCAAGAACTACAGATGGTATCTGGAAAAGACCATAATTGCATATCAAATAATGGGGAAGAAATAAGCATTTTGAATGAGTAGTGGGAGATTATTTTATCATGCTTTATACAGTAGCAGGAAATAATCCACATAAACAATTGTATCCATTCTAGTATTTGCCACATTTCCTGCTTTGGAACAGAGTGATGCTATCAATATCCAGACATTTGATTATTTCATTTAGATGATTATTTCAATTATATAGAGAGCACCTTCATCCATAATTCTTCCCAAAGACTATTCTCATTCAAGTTAGAAAGTGCCAACTGAAATTGGACTTTAATTTGGGTTCTAGTTCTTTTGGCTAACTTTTGAATTATTTGTCAACATCTGAGATATACAAAACACTTAAAAATACCAACACTGGGCAGTAATGTATTCCAGAAAAGTCAGCCTAATAAGAATCAAGGATGCTCAGTGGCTCTAAGAACTATAGGATATTACTTGTTCAATGTCCCAAAGGTGCTTTTTCATGAGGCACCTGGACTTTCTTGTTCTTTCTTTTGAAGACATTTTGCTTCTCATCCAAGAAGCTTCTTCAGCTATGGCAAGATAGTGGGGAATGGAAGGATTTATATTCCTTGCAGACAGCTGGTNGAGTCAACCTTGAGCCGGTGAGATTTGAACCGCTGAACTGCAGATAACAGTCAGCTGAAATGGCCTGCAGTACTGCACCCTAACCACTGTGCCACTTCGGCTCTCAGCTCTTAATTAGATATACACTGAATCTACTTTACAATGCTGAGTCCCAACTATAAGCCATACATCATTCTCCAATAAAATTGATTGCATAGTACCTAACAACATTTTCTGTTGCAGCAAAGTAAGTATCTGCATACCGTCATGTCCAAATGAATATAATTAAATTATTTAAATACTTTCTTGCAGGTGGTCAAGACATAAATGTGTTACATGAAGATGAAGAGGGACAGGCAGCACTAGATAATAATGAAGAGGTAATGCGTGCTCTGCTCATCCATGAAAAGAAAACCTCCTCTGTCTCTACGGCTGCTATGGGAGGGATTGCTCCTTTATCTGCCACAAATGCCAGTGATTCCGAGAGTGAGACCAGTGAATCTGATGAGGACTCCCTTCCTTGTGCAGCCACTGCTCCCACAACTCTCTATGGGCTGGCAGATGACAATGATGAGGATGAGTTTGAGGTAGTGACTGAAGACCCCATTGTTATGGTGGCAGGACATCCCTTTTCTTACAGCCAAGTAAACCAGCGGCCGGAGCTTGTGTCCCAGATGACTGTGGAAGAGAAAGAGCAATATATAGCTATGGGCCAGCGTATGTTTGAGGATATGTTTGATTAACTTCTTCTGCCTGAATAGCAGTAATAGATGATCTTCAACTGGAAATTCTGAAAAAGCAAAAGAATTAGAACTCAACAGAGGAGTCAAAGATCAGAACGTAGGGAAGGAGCTACCACAAATGCAAGAAGGTGTGAGAAACCTGCGGTCAATCCAGATATATCTCCCTTATTTGCACATGTGCATATAGCGCTGTGTTTAGTCTACAGGTTTTCCATTACATTATACTTTTTTATTTTTATTTTGCCTGGAAAATATGAATGCTTTTTTGATGAGTTATTATTTTTCCTCAAAAAGAGGATTGTACTATAGAAGGCATTATCTTTAGTTTACTCTGAACATATCTGCTTGTATCATATAGTTGAAAGACCTTACTGCCTTGCAAGCATAGTGACTATATAGGCTCCTTATTTCCAATGGGTGGACAAGCTAAATGCTTGCCTGCCATATATCTTTGGTGCGGGTAGGGAGAAAGAGAACCTGTGGCCGAAGAGAGTATAAATACAATCACGTTAAATCAGTGAGTATTGGGGACTGTGGTGTACATTTTTTCTGCAGAAGGCATGCTGAAAATAGGAGTTATTGTAGAGGACAAACAAAAAAACTGAATCCAGCCACTGCAATCTTTTCAAATTTATCTGATTTTTAAAAAATGATATCAGTGTGTGACTCTTCTTTGCTAACTTAGTAGATATTTTAAAAAGTCATTTAATAATTTCATCTGCACTGCTAAAATTTCCAAGGAGGTGACTTTGTTCAAATATAACTTGAATCTAATTTTCTTACCTTTTCCAGAAGTTGTGTTATACATCCCATTTTTGGATGGTTAGTTTGCTTGAATGAAACCTCACTTAGTTTCCAGAAAGAGTAGTCCCAATTACATTTTACATAATCCATGAGGAAAAGGCGAAAACAAAAAAGTTGCTTCTTAACAAACAAGATTGAGGAAAGCAAAAAGTTGCCTTTGATAAAACCTGGACTCTGTTCAGTAAAATATATGTGTCATGACTACGGTAGGAACGATCATCCAAGTAAATGGTGGGGAAAGCAATATATTGTTTTAATAGAAATCTAAACAGCTTTAGTACTTAAAAAAATTATGCAGGCTTTAGATGCCAATACAGAGCATGAGAGAGTCTATTTTAATATTTCAGTGGTACCTTCATTAATTCAATTTTGTGATATTTAACTTTCTAAAACATGTTTTTTTTAAACAATATCATTGTGCATTTCTTTGGAATAGTGGTAGACTACAGATAAAATAATTGTATTTTAAAGCACCAGCATTTCTTGCATATTCCATTTTTATATATCAGAATTGTACAAGTTAACAGGCTTGAGAATTGAAAAGTTAGTGACCATGTGTGTTGCTTTTTATAACTTTCAGATACTTCAATAATCAAATTTTGTTCTACTTTAAAATAGAAATAAAATAATGAGATGCTTCCATTAAGGACTATTGTTTTTAGATTGCAAACAAGCATTTTAAACCGTATTTTATATTATTTTAATAATATTTGAAGAATTACTGAACTATATACAGCTGTTCCCACAAAATGCTTGTCTGTCTATCACAATGTCCTTGTCCTACTGTGTATTTGTATTTCATATTAAGGCTGTATAAATGATAGTTCAAAAGTACGTCTTGCATTCAAATACCGTTGGGAATGCAGATCTTTTGGAGAATTTGACCGTCATATATTGTATTGACAGTTAAAAGCAGTCTTCCAACTTAGTTGGTCCCCTTTTCAAATGGAAGAAATAAATAATAATTCAAGGGAAAGGTTGCTCACCACTAAATGTCACTGCATCAGAATTAAATCATTATGTTACAGATAGTAACAAACCTGAAGTATAATTTTTATATATATAGTATATTTAATAGTGATGCACGTAGACAAAAAGTATTCATACACATAAAAGCTTGCCTCTGGACATGGTGGATGCTGGAAGTTTTAAAGAAGAGAGAGGACAACCATTTGTCCAAAATAGTATAGGATCTCCTGCTTGAACAGGGGGTTGGACTGGAAGACCTCCAACTCTGTTATTCTATATGCTCTATAAATGTAGCATTGTAGATTCAATTGCAAAAAAGACACATTGGATCATACAGCGATACTCACTTATCTTCTGTCTGCTTAGTATTTTTTCCCAGGATTGTGTGGCTTCCTATCACAGCTACAACATGATCTTAGAAGATACATTTTGTTTTAGGGTGTTTCATGTGCATCCCACATGGCCTGAACAGTTTTTTTGGATTTTGAATTTGAAGCTTAGCATGTGACTAAAACCTTTATCGAACTTAAGAAATTCCTAATTTTATAGAAAAATGGAATATTGCAACAAGTGCTAACATAGTGACAGAGTGACTATAGTATATGCTATGGGCTGAGACTTTTCTCATGTTCTTTTGTACCTTTTCTTTGCCATGTCTTGGACCCTATTTAAAAACGTATTTCATGTAAGACCCTATTTCTAGTTTTTTAAAAGTACCACTGTCTGCCTTTTAGAAAACAAAACTATTGTTTTAGTAATAAAAAGTTGTATATTATTAATAGAATCATAGAAGGGGCTACTGAGTCTCCAAGCCCAATACGATATCACAGGGGTCTCTTCCACTGGTATTTGTTGCAATCTTTTCTTCTTCTTCATCCCCAACTATAAGAACAAGACTAAAAAAAGGGAATGCATCTTCCCTCCTTTTTTTAACAAAAAGGATCGAGTGAAGCAAGCACAAACTCTACAAATCCAACAACATACACTCATTTTGCAGAAACTGGTGCCATCTGAAGCATGTTACCTGACAATGTGGAATGAAAATTCCTTAAAATAATTATTACAAAATATTTAACAGTGAAGAAAAACATAGATGAGTGTTGGACTCAGAGAAACAGGATTAGATACAAAGATTAAATGTCAACAAAGCTAAGCTATTGAAAATTCAGCTTTGGACAAAATAGTAAGAATCAAATCCTTAAGTTCATCCAACCCTCTTCCGCAATAGAGTCTAGAAGACAAGGTGTATTGGATTTCCCTTAAAATCCTGGCATACTCCCATTCACCAATCTGGAGCTTTCTTCCTTTTCTTCTGAATTACCGTACATCATTTTTTAAGGATTTAATTTCTATAATTCCTGGCCATATTGGATAAACAGTCTACTTGGTTGTAGAAATGTTTATTCTGAGCTGATGCAGTGAAAATGATTTTAATGGACCGTTGAGATATTTTCCATACTTTTATCCTTTGGACCCAGACATTAAGCTGACTAGATCTGCTCAGCTCCTCCTTTCTGTTCTTATATTCACACATATATTGGGGGCTGTTCACCAAGTTCCTTATACCATTGTAGGGTGAGTTCCATATTGGAAAAGGCTGCCTTAAACAAAGACTGAAGTATAGTAACTTTCTCTATGCAGCATCAGAATAAAATGGTGAATTTCTCTGATGCTTGAGGACTCAATTTCTAAAAGCAGGTGACCCTGTGTGGCATACAACAAAACTAAAGCAATATCAAAAACCATTATTTTTTTTTAAAAAACTTAAGAACAGAGCTAAAACGAATAACAGATGAAGTGATATTAATCATAACGGGACACCTCATTAATTCATCTGCCCTTAGGGTTCCCAAGGCCTACTAACATCACCAAGTCTGGAGATGATGAGGCCACCTCAGGGGGGAAGAAGATTCAACCACATGGATCTCACAATAAAAAAAGGCCCACTGCGTAGGGCCCACCAAATGTAGTTCCTAGAAAGCAGAACCTGTAACCTAGCCCTCTTTGCAGATGAAATCACTGACGGTTCCTCAAATAACCCTATCCCATGCATTGTGGGGCTTTAAAGGTCAACACCAGCACCTTAAAATGAACCTAGAAACACACTGGTAACCAATGCATCCTGTCAAACAAATGTAACATGTTCTACCAGAAAGACATAACTGCTTGCATTGTTGCATTTTGCACCAGCTGAAGTTGCTGAATAATCTTCAAGGGCAGCCCCATGTACAGCAAAGTTTACAAATTCTGCTAAGGCAAATCCAAAGAAGTCACATTACGAATTTATACAAGTGAATTCAGCCATTACCTTTTAATATAATTTACTCTTAACAGCTATTGCATGTTTGAAGGTTGCAAGAGGGAAAAATGGAATTGCTTACAGCGGATGGCATTGTTGGCTATTAATCATGTAAGTCAGATAAATTTGAGGCTGGCTAAGAGTAAAAAATAAGTGAACATTTTGTTTCAAAATATACTACATTAGGTTAACCATAGGTAGTTAAAACAGCACAAATTTATACACATTGTTTGGGGCAGGAAAGCAGGGACTTGAGAGTGCTGGCCACAAATTTGTTATAACTAGAACTAGAAAAAAAACACTTTTAAACATACAGTATTTACACTCAAGCTGTATTATATATTCTCACAAACAATATCACTTTGACTAATATCTTCATACACGGACACAATTATTGAGAAAAAAGATGAGAAAGAACAAACATTTGTGATAATATATCGCCAAAATGCTATTTTTACTATTTTAAGTATGATTACTTTTGCTACCTTAATTATTTGTGACTAAATATTTTGCCTGGTCTTTTTATTATATTCATTCTCAAGAGTGAGAATGTACATACAGGTGAAACTCGAAAAATTAGAATATCACGCAAAAGTTCATTTATTTCAGTAATGCAACTTAAAAGGTGAAACTAACATGAGATAAGACTCATTACATGCAAAGCAAGATAGTTCAAGCTGTGATTTGTCATAATTGTGATGATTATGGCGTATAGCTCATGAAACCCAAATCCACCATCTCNTTTTTAACATTTTCTAATGGTGGTGTGCCTCGTGATTTTTTTCATGAAAAAAGTGTGCCTTTGCACAAAAAAGGTTGAAAAACACTGATCTAGGATGAAAATAAACTCTAGAAATCTCTAAACCTTTTCACAGTCTGCTTTTAATTAGTAAAAGCAAGGATTAATTCTGCTTTAATTCTGTATTTCTCTTATTTCAGCAATCAACCTAAGTTATCTGATCCTTGACTATGGTACTTAACAGATTGGGCAGGCCAGGTGTTGATTGCTATTGTCAGCATGAAAGTGGTGCTGCTGTTTTGCAGCTTCAATTTTTAATTAACGAGGTAAGGCTTCATTAATAAGATTTGTGCTAAAATGACATTGGATTGTTTTAGTCACTGTATCTCAGAAAATAAGGCTTTGAAGTAAGAAAGATATTAATGAAAATGAAATCTTGATCTAGATTTCCTATTATTCACACAAGTCTGTTTCTTTGGCTTTTTACAGTTTATAAATAATAGCTAATGCTATCAAAATTTAGGATAAAAATCAGAATAGCTCATAATGGGCAAGTATACTACAGATCTTTTATTTCCATAGAAATTCCATTGTCATTTTTTTTTTGCTGCAAGTCACCCAGAGTCATCGGATATGAGATTGGCTGCAAATAAATTCCATAAATAATAAACAGAAATTTTAAATAAATGCACAATAAATATATCTTAAATGTGTATCAGTATACCACATATGCCTCCTAGATGGTGGAATACAGTTAATAGCATTTAGGCTTTCAATCTAGAATCTAAATTAGAGACACTAGATCAGTGGGAGAACTACTGGGCTTCAGATGAGCTTGTGGCATTCTGCTTAAAATGTGCTACAACTGATCAGTATTATCCTTGGAGGGTTTTTTAATAAAGGAATGCTGCATGTACATAAATATGATGAGAGGTATTAGTCTATTTCTTCTCAGTCTTATTAAAATCATTCAAAGCTTTGATTGACCAAAACTGTGGTGAGCAGCAGAGCACAGCGTATATGAGCCTATCTGTGATCATCATGACTTACAAAAAATGTAACTTGGAATATAAGAGGAGAAAATTTAAAGAGCATGAATTAATTAACATAAAATGGGGAAATAAATAATATGACAAAGGAGAATGAATATAGTGATTCTTTGATGAGCATGTCAGGGTTCCGACAGATGCCCTAATTAAACAAAGGTAAATTTTCTGCATCTGATTAGTTGGTCTGCAGATTTCAAATTGACAATTTAAGCATGAAAGCTAACTAGATGACTTTTGGCCAATCACTCTTTCTCAGACTTTCCATCTTCACAGGGTTGTTGTTGTTGGAAAAATACAAAGAGGAGGCAGGTGTATGAGGCATGTTTGCCACCTTGCTTATAAAGTAATGCAAATAGTTCTCGATTTACAACACTCTGTTTAGTGACTGTTCGAAGTTACAACAGGACTGAAAAAAATGACTTCTGACCTTTCTCACACTTATGACTATTGCAACATCCCCATGTCACATGATCAAAGCTGAATGGGTTTGTGTATGTGGGGATCCGGTATCAGAGACTTTGTCATCTTTGACTCTGGATGGGGTAGCACTGCCCCCAAAAGACCCAGTCTGCAACTTGGGAGTTCTCCTGGACTCGTGAGTCCTATTTGGGGAACAGGTGGCAGTTGTGGCTAGGAGAGCCTTTGCACATCTTCATGTTGTGCACCAGTTGTGCCCTTTCCTTAACCAGGATTCCCTGTGCTCAATCATTCAGCCCCTAGTCATCTCACAACTGGACTATTGTAATGCGTTCTATATGGGACTACCCTTGAAGAGCATTTGGAAGGTACAGCTGGTGCAGGTGTAGAACAGCAACATATGATCCAAACTACCTTTTTAAAATTGCCATTTTCCCAGGAAAGTTTGCATAATTATAATAAAACAAAGTATGTTTCTTTCTTGTTAGGGTGCTTTGATTAGTGCAAGTTCAGATGACATGCTTCATTTATGGAATCTAAGACAGAAACGGCCAGCGATTCTTCATTCCCTGAAATTTAACCGAGAACGGTAAGGCTCCAAATGTTTTTGGATATACTTATCTGATTTGATTTTTGGAATGCTGAAACCTTATTCATTACATTTATGCAAGTAAGCTTAAGCAGCATATGGGCTAGTCCTAGATGAACCAGGGATAAAGGGCCCATGAGTCCAAGGACCCTTGCCTCTGCCCTAATTCACATTTTTTAAATCTTCAAATAGTATAGGCATTCTGTTGTAACAAAATGTTACAACAAGAAATAGAATTTAGACCAGAGATATTTTTACTAGGTATTATCCCAGAGAAACTTAAGAAAGAGGATACTTATTTGATTATACATGTAACTACAGCAGGGAGAATTGTATTTGCCCAAAATTGGAAATTAAATAAGTTACCAACAGATGAAGAGATAATAAAAAAAGATACTAGATTATGCAGAGATGAACAGGTTGACAATGAAAATAAAGGATAAAGAGGAATCGGAGTACTTCAAGACATGGTGAAGATTTTATGATTCGCTGCAGAAAGGAAGCTAGAAAAGAAAGTAAGGAGAAGATACAGAATCCAGACAATGCACTATTAAAGGGAAAAAAAAGGGGGGCAGAGGGGGGAAAACAGAAAAGAAAATGTTAAATATACAAGTTTATATTCAAGAACAAGATATAAAGAGAGGGGAAAACATAGTTAGGATAGATTAGCGAAGGTAAGGGAATAAGGAATGATACTAAATTATATTTGGGTTTGCGGAAATACTATCCCAAGAAAACAAACAGATTTGAAAGAGACACCTATAACAACAGAAAAAGAAAGGGAGAGAGGAGGAGAGAATGAGAGGAAGAGGAGGGAAAGAAGAAAGAAGTAAAGAGAGGACGGTGGAAGGGAGAGAAAGAGAAGGAGAGAGGGTAGGAAGGGGAAGAGGAAGAGTAGGAGTAAGGGAGAGGCAAGGGAAGAAGGAAGGAGAAGGAGAGGAGGAAGGAAGAAAATAGAGAAGGGAGGGAGGGAGAAAAGAAAGAGAAAATAAGGTGGTGTTACAACAGGCGGAAGGGATGGTAAATAAAGCAACCCAAATTGTATATTATAACCTATTAAATGGAATATCAAATGTATAAGAATGACAAATGTAAAGAAGAATAACAATTATGTGAATGTATACTTAAAATATTATGTAAAAGAATATTTTTAAAAAAAAATGGCTATAAAAAAATAAAAAGAATAGAATAAGCAATGTTCTGCCCAAGCATTTTGCATGGAATGAGCCAGTTTCCACTTTTCACATTCTTTGTCCAAAGCCATCCTTGACAGATTTAAGTATGATTAATAGTATTATAGCAATAGCATAGATAAGTGTAGCCTTCAGAAGGACATCCTAATTTATTCTGAATCCAATTTTTGCTCTATATTGTAGAAATAATTTTAATGTTGCTGAAAAGTTAGTGCAGCTTTGAATGTCAATATAGTTGTGATTTGACAGTAGAAAATGCAGCCCACAAATAATAGCTTTCATCGCAGCTCAAATTCAGCGGCATATAAAGCAGCATTTTAAAACGTAGTTCATAGATACTAATCTAATGATTTAATTATTTATTTAATAATTTAATTTCCTTGGGCCAGCCTGCCTGTCTTGGTTATTTGATAAGCAGTAAGGCAATGAGTGCAAGAGAGTAACTTTGTCGTCAGAATATTTTACCTAAATTCGGGAGAGAAAGTGTTGTCTGTGCTTTTTATTTTTAAATATAGTTTTTAATTTTTAGTAATGGCTTTAGTATGGGTTTATGTTTGTTGTTTTTAGTTGAATTTGTTTACCATTTCTGATGTTTTTAATTGTTGTGAACTACTTAGAGTTACACATATGAGATGGGCATCTATATGAATTGAACAAAGCATAAAATATGTAATAAATAGTAAACACAGATATATGTGCGTGCACATACACACACAGACAAGGAGGTGAGGCCACATTTTTTTACAATTCTGATCTATATGGTCTGTAGATGGCAGATTCCTCTTGTATCAAATCATTCCAAAGCTAACAAGGTCCCAAGCTATCACAACCTTGACTTAGACCCAGCAACCAATGCTTCTCCCCCCAAATGGCTGTTATTTTCATGCTGGGCTCTAGCACGAGTCTTAAAGCTCAGAAGTCAAAACCTCTGGTCCCAGTGACTGACCCAGATTGCACCCTGCAACATTATCCTGAGACACATTTATTTGTCTTCATTCGTTTTTTTCCTTCTTTAGGCAGGCAGATGCATTCCAGAACTGTAGTTTCTACAGCTTTAAGGTTAGACTCATATAAAAGTGATTTGTAGAGTAAGCTGGTTGAGTTCACAAATGTGGACAAGGTTCTTGGTGAAGTTTAGCCAAGCATATATGTTTTGAACTCTTGTCTGGATTTAAGAAGTTATAATTCCTTTCTTATGAGAAAGAGCAGTTCCAGTCTTGATACCATCAATGATAAATTTCTGGAAATACTATCTTTGGGCAGGTGAGCTTTGCTGTATTCAGATCATTCTTGAATTACTATCTAGAAAATATAGTGCTGAGAATTTCTGTTCAAAGCCTTATAGAATGCTATCTTACCCCTTCCTTCTCCCATGTATATAGTTATAAGAAGTTGCCAAGTGAGGTCAATTCAGGATATATATTGCCACATCATTAATTTACAAAACTGCCTCTTTTTTATCTAATTTAGATGAGCCACTGAAATTGCTTACTCACCATTCTTGGCTACAGTGATAGAGAGGATGAAAGGCAAGAAGCTGAAATTCAGTCTAGAAACAAAGATTATATTAGTCTGTGGTCTATTTATCTAGATGAATGATGCTTAACCTGTTCTGGATTAACATATTTATATAGTGCTTTTAGATTAATTATTTCCATTAAAAAGACAAACACCTTCTATAGGATAAAGCACCCTTTCTCAACTAAGCTGTGCATCACCAGTTACACTAATTGGAAAAGGAGCGTCTTGTTTCAGTCACCCATGCCCCGATAACATTTTGTTTTGATTACTGCAAGATATTTTACCTGGAAGTGAGTTTGACCGCTTGACCTATTGAATCATCCCCTGATTCCCAGTTAATGTTTGGGCCCAATGCAAAGTGCAGAATTAACCTACAAAATTCTTCTACGTTCAGCATCACGTGTCAAGAAAAGAACAGCTCTTGTGTAGGGTTCTTCTTTAGACCTTGAGATCATCCCTATGAGCCTGATCTAGGTGCCCATCCATGCCATGCTGTGGAGAGTGGCTGATTAAGCCTGACTGGATGTCTCATTTATTTTATTTTAATGCTAGGCAAAGGTTATAATATTCTCTGAGTTCAATTTTCATGCCTGTTGGGGCTATTTTAAAATAATTCTAAAATTTAATATTTTGGGGGGGTTAATTTATCTAAGAAATTATAGTTTTAACTCAGCACCCCAAAATTAATTCCATCATCCTTCCAGGTTTCTTTTTTAAAAAAAAAAATCTGAGTTTGGGGAAAAAGAACCATACCAACTATGTCCATATTCTAGAAGATTAAAGTTAGAATTAAGATTGAGAGATTGGCACGTAACTCTTCTATTTTAAATGTCTATGAAAATGATGAAACAGTGCATTGGTAGACATATAAAAAGAAAAAGAAGTCTTGCCAATGATAGATAACTCAAGGAAAGAAAGAAAAATAGATTTTTCCCTAGATTTCAAACTAGACCTGTGCTGACCTGGGGCATAGCACAGAGATAACACAAACAGCTGGCATTTCAAACCGCCCCTTTATTACTCTAAATTTTCCCAAACGCTCCCATGTTTCTGGAAGTCTCAGAGCAGAGTGATAACAAACCCACACACACACCTCAAGCAGCCTCTGGTTGCAATTAGTCCAGCCCAGTGCTGTGTACACCAGGGCTGCACAGCAACAAATCCAGCAGGGCAAATCAAGGAGTTCAGGAAGCAAAAGATCCAGGTAATTAGTTCCGAATGCCAGAAGGAATGTAAGGACTCTTGGAAAGTTCAAATGTCGGCACTCAACACTCCAGGAACTCAGTGTTTGTTCCCGACAAATGCCTCTCCCCACAGCATCTCCTTAAGTCTTGTTCCCCAGGTGTGTCTTGTGAAGATGGGCGGGGCACTCTTCTCCCGAGTAGCCTGCTCAGTCTGCGCTGTTCATGCCTTCTATCCACTCTCTGAGCTCTTGGATCAGGAGTGGGTGATCCTTGCTCCTTGCCTATGCTCTCATGTTCATCCTGCCTCTGTTCCTCCCTCCCATTTTGTTCCAAAGACAATGAAGCTGCCCCCTCAATCTCTGTTGGCTCAGGTTCCAGCTTGTCTTCCCATACAGATTCAGGCTCCGTCGGGGTCATGTCAGGCAAGTGTTATATCCACTCTACCTCTACAAAAGACATTCCTGAGGATAAAGCTTAGGGAAAAAAATGAAAATTCATTTTAAAGCTGGTTGTCTATGGAGATTCTCAGTCATCTAGATCATGGTTGTCCCAAAAATACTTTTTTCCAAAGGAAACTGGACTTTGTTTTTTCATTGAAGACATTTTGCATCTCATCCAAGAAGCTTCTTTAGAGCTCTGACTTTAGAGTTGGTTATTGTGCATTATGCTGCTTTCTCTTTAGGTATATAAATATCATCTAATTTAATTTAACACCTGTATGCACAGAAAAGAAAGCCATTGGCAAGAGCTTTTCTGGAACAGAAAATTTGGAGGCTACAGGGGGATTACCTAATGGAGGGCTGGAGTACCTAATGGAGTACCTTGGACTAAATCTCTTGCCAGCATTGTCTTGGTCGGGTCATGTTTTTCTTGCACTGTATTAGTGTGAAACTGGCATTAGCACAGAAGAGTACCATAAGGATACAATGTATATATATCCATCACAAATGTGGACCTGGAATGTGCCAGCCCTGATTAGATTAATGGAATGAGGAAATTAAATAAACGTATGACAACCTCACAGCAGGATAAAGTGGTACCTTCCAATTTTCTGAAATGTTGCATCTTCTCTTGTACATCCAGGAGAGCAGCGGTAGATTGTAGGAAATGAAGAGCATTTGATTACAGTGATTGACCAGGAGCCGTATGCAAATATGCATGTGATGTGAAGATAGCCAGCAAATATATCTTTTCCCCTGCAGAGAGCATGAGGCTCCCTACTTCTTTGGGAATGTGTCTTAGCACTGAAGTAGAGTGCTATGAATCCCTCAATGTCAATGTCCTCTCTTGTACTATAGTAAAAGGATCCCTGTTGTACCAAAAGCTTCTGTATTCTATGAAAAAACAGCAGTGAACTGAAATAAGACACACTTGTGATATTGGTACAAATATATCTAGAATGGGTATTTATAGATTGTCAGCCCAATATTTTGATCTAGCTCTAGTCTTTCATGTCTGGTCTAGGAAAGTAATGGACAAATACTCTTATCTCCGTCATATTAATTACATCTAGTGGCCAAAATATTGCAAGGTGAAAGGAACTAAAGAAAAAAGGTAGATGTGGATGAAAACTCACTGTCAGAATGCCAAATCTTCCCAATAAAGGGAAAAATAGAAGAAGGGCTGAATGTTTGTTGATGTTATAGAGAAACATAGTCCTGAGAATCTGAGCTTTCATTTATTACATACACACACACACACACACACACACACTAGATATGAGGTAAAATGTATTGTCACTGTTACACGTTCTTATTCCAAAAGAGAGACGTTCCTACCTTTTTGTTCAATTTTATCAATGTACAAATAGCTATCACTGATATATGTGGTGTTCAGAGAAGGCTATTTTGAGCTCTTACCAATATGTCTGGTTTATATATGCAGATGCTGCACAAATCATACCAGATGTTGAACAATTAAATTAGCTCAGCTACAAGACAACCCAGTTGTTGTTATATTTATTTTGTGATTGGGAATGATAGTGGAGTTACATTGGAGTCACGCTGAGAGTAGGATCTTTTTTTACATAATGGTGTCCTTATTCTATATTGGGACCTTTTAATGCAGAAGGCACTGATTCTTGAATGATCATGGATAGTTTGCTGACAGTGAAGATTCAAAACCTTCACTAATAATTTAGGCTGATATTTGTTCACTCCTTAGGAATAGACTTTAATTCAAAACTATGACCTGTTTTTCCCACACTAATAGTTTAACAACCACTATTTCATATGATCTGAGATGAGAAATGCAATATGTTGTTTTTACTACATTTATATAATGTGATTGTAGTGATCAGATGTGACCTTACTCTTCTTTACATCCTCTGGAAAAGGTGCATCCAAATTCCTAATAAGAGTCATATTTCGGCTAGTGTCCCAAAAGTAGTACTACGGTGGGAGGCAGAACTGTCTAAAGTTAAACTTGGTGCATGGGCTTACAATTTAGCACGTTGATTAAAACTATTATTTTCCCCTCAGGCTTGAGTTCTCTCCTTAGAAGAGATAGTTTTGAATCAGTGTGGTTCAGGACCATTTCATAAAAACTCCAGTATCTTGGTTTCTCCAGGGAAGTGCTTTTGATGATGGGATATGAGTGTGCACAGTGCACTTAAACAACATATTAAAGATCTGAAAATCAACAAGATTGGGCTGTTCACAAATGCTTATTTGAGCAATCAAATCCCCCCTTTTAAAGCTGTGAGATACCTATATCAAATAACCGTCCCAAAAATTTGAAAGGTATTAACCTTAGCAAGGCACAATGCACTTCCCACAGCAGTTTTGGAGGGCTGATACAAAAAAAAATGAGCTAAGATTGTGCCCGTAGACAAGGAGCCGCAGAAACTAAAGCTCACAGCTTTATACTGCATCTTCTATAAGCACTTATAGACTCACTTTATAATACCTCAACTAATAAAATATCCAATAAATACTGGTCTCTTTTATGTACAACTATTGTTATCAGATCAGTACAAAGTAGTTTCTCTGAATGTGGCCAAATTTTATTATACTGTATGCAAAATTAGACAGACTCTAACTGCACACTAATAATTCACCATGAATCATAATATATTACTTCGTCAATTTTTATGTTTATTTTTCATTATTATTGTTTTTAATGCTTTTATTTGTACTGTTGGTCTGTGTCTGTAATAAAAACTGATTGCTTTATATAATATGATTGTCTTTTTTCCTAACACAGGATTACTTTCTGTCATCTCCCTTTCCAAAGCAAGTGGCTGTATGTTGGAACAGAGAAGGGAAATACACATATTGTAAATATTGAATCCTTCATACTTTCTGGATATGTTATCATGTGGAACAAGGCAATAGAACTGTGAGTTTTGAATTGTTCACTAATTGTTCATTTTATTACTATTCTGTAAAATGAAAACCAAATTCTCTAAGCCAGTGTTTCTCAACCTTGGCAACTTGAAGATGTCCGGACATCAACTCCCAGAATTCCCCAGCCAGCATTCGCTGGCTGGGGAATTCTGGGAGTTGAAGTCCAGACATCTTCAAGTTACCAAGGTTGAGAAACACTGCTCTAAGCTATACAGTTAGATGCTGTGGTGCTGTTCTTAGTAATTCTCAACCTGATTTTTACTACAGTTTTTGA